ATTCTAACTGTGACCAAGAGACATAATCCATTTTTAATTGAGATTCAATTACCCCTTCTTCCATTAAATTAAGTTTAAGCTGCAAGCATATGACTAGTGTGCATCAGAACAGGGACACCTAGAACTTAAAAATTAAAAAAAAAATATTCACAGGGGTTTCTGAATAACTGGAGAGTTTGACCACATATTTTTTAGCTTTTCCTATTATAATAGGTTGCTGTGTATATCATTCTATTAAAACATAAATTGTGTAAATTAAAATATTGTTAGAAGATTGTGTAAATTTGCTTTTTGTCTACTCACTCTGTTTTTGGAACTTCTTTTCTAAGCCAGTAGAAATCCGATTGGGCTGCATATTTGCGAGTTTGCAACACGTTGCCAAAATAGTCACTCTCTGTAAACTTCAGCTGCATAGAAAAAGCACAGGCATCTTAAAAGTATGTCCAAGGAAACAAAAGCTGACATAAAACAATGATCAGTTTTATTGGAAACAAGATAATCACCTAATTCTTTAGCCATTGTTAAAGGAAGTAAAAATTTTCACATTTGGCAGGGAAAATAAATATTTTGTGAGTTTAGTTAAAAACAGTGGTTGAACTGATCTACACAAGGGACTGGAGCATCAGGAAAGCTCTTCCCTATGCAGAGAACAGCTGAGGAAACCAGAAGTACCCAAACATGAATTGCAGATGACATGTTTCTAAGGCTACTATCCAGGCAGCATCTTTTCCATAAGTACATCTACTTTTATTCTTAAAAGTGCATTTCAAAACCACTTTCAAGAATATAACAAAGACCATTTTTTTCCAGTTTGTTTTGCATTTTATCACAAATCCTTTGTATTCTGAGCACTCCAAGGGTTCTGCCACTGCTTTCTTACTGTTTCTCACATCAAATTCTTACAGACATAGGGCTCCATGCTTCCATAAGACTCCAAATCTAATAGCAACCTCACACACACACACACACACACAAATATAACTAACCATGCAGAAAAAGGGATGTCACCAGTTTCAAGCAATCCGAGTACTTGAGAGGAAGTTGTACTTCAGATTTAAACTGTGGTTAACAAGTGTTTTTTTTTCTAGACATTACCACTTATCTGGGCAAATAATTCCATACACTCAGTGATAAAGTTGGTCACATCCTCTATCTCATTACACTGTGGTTCACAGCACCATCTTACCCCACTTTTCCCAGGAATAAGGACTAGCCTAGTAGAGCTGGCTCTTCAAAGTTTTCTCAGTACATTATACCCCTCTCTAGTGTTTGTACATGTTCTTTGGCAAAAATTACTATCACTCTTGTATTTTACAAGTTCAGGATTGAATTTGTGATTCTGCTTTGCCTGTGACTTTCAGTAACACAACTCATCACATGCCACAGTTACTCCTTTGGAAAACAGTAAACTGTATTATTCTTTATCATCTGCCTTTCTGCCTTACTTAGGCTGAACAGATACTGGGCCAGGAAGGAGTACCCTCTAGTAACCACATCCAGCAGCCAGCATGGTAGGCCTATACATTGGCTAGGACCTCTAAGCACGATAATAAGCAACAATCATCAACAAAATTCATACCCTGGATAGATGTGGAGAGTCTATAAAGGGCATCATAAATTGCAATATTCTGAGGGAAAATGCATTCACCTTTTTGAAGACAGCTATGTTGAAGAGGAATGCTTCGATTTTATTTCATTTTTATGACTAAACACAAAAATTGTGCCAGTGTATGTTTAACCCTAAAAATGCTGAAGGTTCTTTGCACCCAGGTACATTTTACTCCCAGCAGGTCTTGTAGTCATCTCTCTTAGACACACTGGCATTAACAATTTAGACATTAGAGCTAGCATACTTCATTCAATGTCTAAAAATAACCAGGCAAGCAGAACGCCAGATGCATGACAAACAAAGGAAGGGTTTTGATTTTAGACTGCAGCAAAACACAGCAAAGAATGGCTGCAATATGTAAAAGAAGAAAGCTGCAAGTCTGACACTTACTGTTTTGATGTCTTCATTAATATATGTGTCATTCATTATAAACTGAGGATAACCCACTTTTGCCATAACTGCTTTTGCCTTTGAAAAAGAAAAAAAAGAAAATAAAAGAAAAAGTGTTAGCAGATATAACCATTTATCAGTATATTGGGTTTTTTCCCACATTCTTTTTCTACTTTATATTACTATGCCTCCCTGAAGGCATTATCCTAGTTTAAGGTCAAACTCACTTGCCTACAAGGTAAACTTGGTGCTGCAAATGAGCTTTGCAGCACAACGTGGAAGGTCCATATTCTGTTGTCAGATTATCACAGTGGGTCTGTTGTCACCTGCAGAGCTTTTGCAGACTTACAGCAGTGTGTTTGAGTGCAAAATCTTAACACTATTTTCCCTAGCAATTTTTTGCATTAATCAGGTGGTCAAATGTACTTTTAAAAAGTTTTCCAAAAGGTGACAGGAAATGTCCCATTTCACCATGGTGCAGTAGCTGGTACAAATCCAACTATTAAAAAAAAAAAAATTGATACCCATATACAAATGAACATGGGTCTAAGTAAACAGAGACTTGCTTGTTTCTACTGAGGGTAATTCCACTTACACCTGAGTGTGGGAGCACTCTTTTCTGAAGGACACTGTACTTTCCTAAAACTGCAGAGTTAATCTTTGTTTCATTATCCACATTTATCCTTCTACTTTTCTGTCTTTGACCTTTCCCTAATGTCAGTAAAGTCTTTAAAATAAGACTTTTCACTGTTCATGAACTTAGTGTTTTTTCCTCTTTCAGTCATGACTTGGTTTCAAAGTTTATGCACAATCTGTGGAAACACTGGTGTGAAGCACTAGTCGTTTTGGTGAGATTTCCTATTTTGCAAATCATGGTATAAGTATATAAACATTCTTAGTAATGTTCTCACTAAAACACCACTGGGCCACTCGGAATCTCTGTGGAAACAACACATTTCCAGAAGAAAAGCAGCAGCTCATCAAAGGATAAGGCAACTTACCAAGAACTGAAATACGACAAGTTCATAGAATAAATTAAAGCCATGATGGACTAGGGTAACAAAAAAACAGGCTAACAAGAAGCTTTCTGTTTGAAAGTTTTCAGGATGCTGAAAATAATTTTCCCATAAGTCTACGAAATTCACTTAAAAAAAGCTCGTCTGGAAATTTATTCTTCAAACTCAATTGTCAGCTCAAAAGAATATTGAAAGATATGAAGTGCAATAAATGGATTGGTCTGTAAACCAACTGCAGGCACACCAACCCTGCATTCTGCTCTCTGTGAGCAGAGCAGGGACCTCTCTGGGTGCTGCCAACTTCTATTTTCCTCTTGCTGCACAGGGTGGCTGTTCAGGAGAAGAATCCCCTTCCTCCAAAATTAAATCCTTGCCCCATTCTTCACCTCCACAATGTCTCAACAGGGCCTCCAATGACAGCAAGAATGAGAAACATCTGTTATATAAGAAGGAAGCTGATGGAGGACTGCCTCAATTTAACCAAAATTATTTTGTCTGGTCTCTTATTTTTCAAGAAACATCTTTACTTCTTCCAACTCTTTCAATGTTTCAATCTCATTTGCAACCCAGCATCATAATCCTCCATTTGTGACACCACAATTAATTGCAGTTGAGATAATTAAGATGTCACAAACAGAAGATTACAACTTCAGGTAGGAAATTAGCAGCAGGAGCAGATGAACTCTTAAGGAAGAGAGATCCCATTGTCATGCAAATCTCCCTAGTGATAAAAAAAACAATGAAAGACAAATGCTGAACAGGAAATATGAAATGAGCCAAATTAACTCTCGACAGAATGTTGTCTCAGTTTTCCAGAAAGTATAGCAGCCGGGGGGGAGCTGGGGGAGAGAAAGAACATTTTATCTGCAAGTTTGAATATAATCAAGAACATCTATTTTTTTTTCCTGGTGGTGGTGTCAGGTCCAGCTGACTGAACTTTGCAAGGAACTGGAAAATTTCCGTTTTGCATTTCAAATGTTTCAAACACAGTTGTTAACACTAGCTTTGAGAAAGCAAAGAATAAAACTCATCAGTTTAGCTTTTCCTAAGTCAGGAGATTAATCAAGTTCAGTGAATCTCATATGTTTTTTGTGTATTCCAGGGAAATTATCTCAATCACTTACAGTAGCCTCTGTGTTGAATCTACTTAATTGAGCCCCTCAACATTTTTATTAAACAAATGTAATTTTAAAAGTAACATATATTATTAAGAATAACCACTTTTAAATCAATCTCCAGTGCAACTTGCAAAAAATTAACAGCAGTTTTTAAAGAAAAAGTAGGATTTTATGTCAGTACGATGTCACTTCTCTAATCATTTTGCTGGTACAATGATGGTCAAAAATTGTTGATTATGTATTGGCATGTAAAAGAACACTTTTCATTTTGAAATATATTATTACCTTTAAAAACACTCTTAAGTCTATACTGTGCTCCAAGTAAAAGCAAATTCACACCTCCCTGGCTGTAAATGCAGAGGACTATGAAGCCAGCCTAAATCTGGCAGCACTTTTCTGAAAGAATCAGAGACAAGTCCTGCTCTCATTGGTGCTAGTCATCTGACTGTGACCACAATATGTCCATCTCCACCTCAGCACATGTACATTTTGTGGTCTTTGTAGAATATCTGCCACATCCATCTAAGTCTCTTCTTCCACATCAGCCCTCTGAGAGCAGTGGCTTGGTACTGCCAAGTTTTGGCCCTTTTAGATAACAGTACTTAACCAAATATCTCTAAGGATGAGGCCTGTAGGCTCCTTAACAGCAGGTCTGACATACATTTTCCTAAATATCATATGCAATCACATAACATAATAAATAATCACAAAATTAATATTTAACTTTTTTTTTATTATTATTTTATTTTAGTGCCACTTAAATCCTTTACTCTTGTCATGGCCCTGCTGCATTTGAACAGGAAGGCTTCCTCCAACCAGACTGTCTCAGGAGAGCTGGGCTCACTTATCAGATCACACATACTCTTGCTTTGTGAATGGGACAGTTGACGTCATGAGCTTAAGATTTCCCTGCATAAGGGAAAAGCGGCCAGACACAATTTAGATATTTTGCTAGAAAGGCTATATAAAACCCTGGTAAATAACTGAGTTTGCCTCAAAGAGATTTCTGAAAGTAAATTCAAAAGATAATGCTGCTTCTAGTACCTTGATGTTTTATCAATGGCATAATCTGTCTGTATTTTGCAAAACATCTATATATATGGGGAAAATATAACTTTATTCCATTTGTTACTTAGAAGTTTTTACCACAATATATGTTTTAGAAGCCTGAGCAAGACACACAGGCAGCTATGTACTCTGTAATGACTAAACTCTAAGGTAGATCTTACTAGCACTGTGATTCTGACACATTCTGAAGTGTTCCATCAGTCAGATAGGATAACAAAAATTCAGAAAAGTACACACTGTTACTACACTACCAAGTTATTTTGCTATTAGAAATTTAAGTGCATGCTTAAACAACATTAAAAAGCTTCTAGGACCTCTAAAGTCATGAATTAACATAATCCTTTAGGAGCCTTTTTGAGAACTTCTAGAGCAAGAGCAGATGAGAACAAACTGATTTGTCACATGCAATCCATATCTTGCTATACAGCTTTTCCCAGAGAAGGAATGCATCTCAAATTGGTCCTAATGGTATTTATGATGCTGCCAAAAATATAGACAGGCCATGCTTCCCTGAGATTGTACTGAGCTAGTGGCCCAGGGCCATCTTATCTCCATCATGTAACACATACTGATATGGGAGGGAAAGGGGAATAAACTTGCTTGATCTGAAGGACCAAGAGCATCTCTCTTTTCAAAGGGCTGCTCCCAACATCCTGACTCCAGCCTGGGATGAGGTCCAGGCCCATCCAGCCCACACAGGTACTTACGGCAGCAAGAGTGGGTGGCAGGCCAGAAGGCTGTGTCACATCAATAAGAACCCTGATGCCAACTGCAAAGGACATGTGGCTCCTGGTAGAGACGACTGTGTCACATAGCCAAAGCAAAACCTGTGAGAGGACGTAGGAAGCCCTCTGAAGTCTCTGGGAACCCCTCCAACTGGGATTCCTCCCAGGGACTTTGCATCAGCCTGTTCAGCTGAGATCAACACACAGCCCAGTTTATTTACATGACAGACAAGTTAGAAAGTATTGCATTAAGAGCAGGTTTCTAAATTTCCTGATGGAAGTGTCTTGCTTCCTTTGCTTCCTTTGCTATCTTTTCTGTTCAGTTGAGTAATATTTAATGAGAGTTAGAAGATTCCTTATTCATGTAGAACAGGAAAGTGGAAAACTCTTCTATGACTGGCTTATTTTTTGATAATTGAAGCAGTATTTTCCCCTTGATAAGATTAAAAGTATATTTAAAAGATCATCCTTCCAGGAGGCATAAACTTACACAGAGGGAAAGCAAATGAAATGTGTCGAATGTATGGGAACCAGCCATGTAGTAATTGCACATGAATCCACCGTAAACACACCATGCAAAAGTGTTTATGATTTAAAGGCTCATTAAATTCCTTTTTCTAATTCACATATTAAAGAACAGGAAGAAAAGGGGCGACGGGTTATTTCCCCCAGCTATCGTTAATACTCGGCCTACCTGAGGTAATCGGGTAAATTCAGAGACCTCACCTCTGCAGGATTCCTCTTCTGCCACTGAAAGCAAGACGCTCCTTCAGGGGGTGATGCAAAGCAGCAGCAGGCTGTACAGTAAGTCATGGTAACTGTTTTCTGTCCCAGCAGCCAGAGAGCAGGCTGCGAGGCAGAGGACGTGGGGAGAGACAACTCCCTCCACTGCTGATTATGAAGAGAAGTTTCCCCACTGACTTCTGCACAGTCAGGATTTTATCATCAGTGTGTCTTTCTGTCACGATGAGAGCATTGCAAGGCAGTTTACTACAGAGACAAACTAATAAACAACCTTTTACTTCTCACTTAACAACTTGCCAATGTAGGACCACACACATGCTTCAATGCTACAAAGCATCCCCTTTTCCAGTCTAGTCAAATTCTTGCTTGACAGTGAACCTGGGCATGTGAGCCTCCCAAGAGCATTT